CGTCTTGTTGATTGACTTGCGAGGTGATCAAGATGAGCTTGTCTCGACCTTCATTCCAATCAATGCCTTATCTTTGATGTTTCCAAGATGCCAAACAACTAGATGAAAATCATAGTGATTTGGCATCTCTCCATGGCTTGACCTGGCACTTCCCGGTCTACTGGAGACTGGTTCATTTGGGAATTTTGGACCACTGGCAATGCTCTGATAGAGAGGTGGAGTGAGAGTGACACAAATGGTGAGGTCTGAAGAAATCATGCTACTGGTCGAGCTTGGACCCTGGGCATGGCGGGATATCAAAATGCCAGAACTTTGGAAACGACCGGATGAAGTCTGCTCAGGGAAGTTGGACGCCGATGCTTCATGTTCCCCTCTCAGCTGGTGGTTACACTGCGTATTTATCTAGCAGTTTAAATTTGCACCCTGCGCTTCTGGAAGAAAAATTGACGGACACACGATCAAGACTTTCTGATGGAGTTCGTTCTCGCAACAATGCAAGAGCAGCGGCAAGGCTGAGACTGGGCATGGGGGTCATTGGACTGAAGCCGTTCATAGCGTGAACGGAGTACTGCGTATCATCTGAAATTTCTTCCAGTGCTTCCAGTTTTGGGGTCGAATCCAATGATGGCGACCTTCCGTAGGCCTTCTGGCATGGCCATCACATCGCGGTTTGTGTGCAGTCTGTGGGGTACAGATCTGTATGCAGGAATTGTCTCAATTGCAACGACAGGTGTAGCAGTTTTCAGCATCGTGAATATTTCAACATCGCGAAAGAAGAGATAGATGCAGAGATAGATAAATACCAAGCAGGGCTAAATTTCCCAGACCACTGGTTATCGAATCTGCGTAGCCTCATCTTGGTTTGATTCCCGTACAAGCGTGGGCTGTCTTGGATTCCCACACCACCTGGGTCCTGGAGCGTGGACTGTCACTGAAGCGATGCCGGACATGACACATTACCCGCCGGCTTTCAGTATAGAAGAGTAGGGGAGAGGAGACGAGCCGGAGGAATGAACTAAGGCAAGTAATATTACTTCGCATGTCAATCGCTTTCGAGGCCCTCCTGCTCACAATAAACTCAGCGACCCAGAAATCTCCCACAACAACAGGCGACAACAACACCAACACCGACAGCGACAACAAAGAAACAACCTCGCCTCAGCCCCTGAGCCGCTCGCCCAGATGAGAAGAAGAAAATATCCCGGATCAACATCCAGATGACGTCCGCCATTTCCACAATTCGTCCAGAAGCGCGGATTAAAAATATCATGTTGTTCGCCTTTGCTGAGAGAGGCCAGAGATAAGAAGTCGCAAACCGCTCAATCGGGCATGGCCCAGAGATACCTTTGTCTTAGCCTTATCGTCGTCGGAGACAGCCAATAGGCGGCCGGAGACCCTTACAAATGCTTTTGACACCAGTCGGCAATGGAATCGCCCAAGATTCCCAAGGCATGCACGCCACGAGTGGAGACGAGTGGAGACACCCGGCAGAAACAAGCAAGGGAGGGATGAGTGAGCATGCCGACCCTGGCAGGGAGAGACTTTTCCCCACGCTGCATCTGCCTCTGTTTCTATTGTTAACCCAAGCGTCTGGGAGCTTTTCAGCTGTATGTAACATCACTGGATGTCTTTGAATAAAATTTTCATCGCTCACACCGAGGGAGCAAGGCGAGATGAGAGAGGGAGAATACTTGTCCTTGTGTGTTTCATGAAGCCTTGGATTTGCAGCTTTCCGGGACAGCAACCACAGGACGGTATTGGCCCAAGAAGAACCTCCCAACAGCATGCATTGCGTGTTGAGAACTTGAGATGCGAAGGACTGCCGATTCGCTTTTTCTTGTCCAGATGACTAGAGCTTTTCTAGCTTTGCGAGCTTTTCTGTGCCACAGCTAATGCGAACAGAAGAACGAAATATGTCATTGTCCAGAAAAGAATTGCAACACCTCAGGGAAAGCAGAAAAAGTGCAGCCCACATTGCTCCACGGCATCGAATAATCGTCAAGACTCAGGTGGACACGCCGCGGTATACAGCAAGGAGGGCAGGTTCCTGTTTGCACAATCAATAAAAGGTCATACTCTGGGAGAAAGGTGTGCGTCGGCACCATCAAGCAGTTTTTCTTCCAGAGACCGCGACGGTACCGCTAGGTGAACACAAACAACCTCAGTCTACCAATGCTGCGAAAGTGCTTGCAAACTCAGCCAACTTCTCGATTGTGCGCAAACGCATCAGTGTCGATTGTAGCTCAAGAGATCGAGCCGGAACGAAGAATCTCTTCATGACCATACGTGAGGCTCAACTTGCCATTCGTTTGTGAAACTTTGGTATCAAAGTCTGGTCATAGAAATGCCAGGTGCCTGGCAGCAAATATGTGACTGGTGATTTGACGATCTTGTTATTTGAGATGGGAATTCCGAGTTTCGCAATGCGCGCTGAGAAACACTTCAAGGTGTAGTAAATATGTCATAAAGAGCCGGTCGACAGCGATGTAGAGTTGACAATTGGCTGCCATAAGATTCTGAGAAAGAAATCGAATATAAGTTCAGGAAGTAAACGGAGGAGGATCTAATGTTTGCTCCCCCAAATCAAGCCAATCAAAAGGAGTATATGTAATCTGGCCTGAGGCGCCACACCACCACGCTAGGCCGGAATCCTCATCGACTTAAAGGTTCCAGACATTCTTCGAACAATAGCATCTCTTACAATGGTTCCACGCCAGATATTGAAAACCTCACTCGTTGGAAATTGTTGAGGATTTCAATGCCTCAACCCACGTCATCGGTCGTCGAAGCACCTGGACAATTCAGAAGCATCCTATCAAACATACATTTCTACCAACTATCCCTAATCAAGAAACCTATTGTATTCGATATCAAATGTCTTCGGTGACCTCGAGCTGTTTCCTTCAATGATTAATCAGTTTATCGGCTGAACGATCCTTTCCGCACTACCTATTTCCTCCCCTTCGTGCCGGAAAGCTTCTGCTTCACGTTGCTGTTCGCCTTTAAAACCCTTGACAGTATTTGAGATTCAAAGATCAATACCCGGCAGGTATACTGTCAGCGACTGGCGCCAGACTCGAAAAGGCACCTCTTCATCCCCAGAGAACATGCTCCTATCTTCGTATCAACCAAAGACAGAACACCCCGGAATTGTCACTCCTCCTTTTCTGCTTTCAAGCCAGCAACAACGCCGTCTCTCTCCATAACCCACCACTACACCTCACTCATCAGAGCCATAGATCGTCTCAGATCAAATAAGATCAGATATCGGATTCTCTATTTGCGGCCTGCCGTCAGCGAGAGGCACAGATCTGGTAACACAGGACCCTGTTGGCTAATCTTAACTATTGTTGATCATTCCCACCACCGGTCACATACAAGACCTCCTCGAATATTTTCTGTCTGCTGACACGGCTTGGGACATTCCTCGCAAGTCAGACTGATAGATCTGTGGGGTACGACCTCAGAACGGGGCCTTCTGTAATGGACAATGTTGACAGCAACTTTCCGGATAGAATATTCAGGGAAGTAGATGTTGGTTCATTTTCTCGTCAGACCGCGGAGAGTCGGGTAAGTAGAGTTGAGCCATATTCGAATTACCTCACTGAATATTTATCCCCAATAGTTCCCCAGACCACGGAGAGGCGAAGACGATGACCGTCCCGCCCTAGCTCATTGGCGCAATAACCTCACCGCACTCTCGCAAAAGCATAATGTAAGTCCGAAGCCCTTCTGTTGCCTTGTTGGTCGAGTTTAAAAACTCTCCACGCAACAGTACATTGTAAACACCATTGACTTTGTTTTTTTTTAGCTCTATTTCGCCGCAGTCGAAGATCACATCCATGTGACCGTACCGAGAAATGTGAAACATAGCTTACCGGGGACGCCAGATCTTAACATCTTACTGCCTACATCAGTCCAGGCCGAGATCGTTGGTGGCCATCTGGACGAGGATAACGGTCACTGTGTGAATCATCTAATCATTGGCAATCTGGGCGACGAAGAGATAATCCTTATTGCGTGCGATGACGGGGATCTGGTGGGATATTATACTAATGTGATTAATCAGGTCGTGAACGCGAAGACGATGGACAAAGGTGGCAGTCATTCCCAGAGAACCAGGGGCCGAACATTCACTTTCGATCAGACAGATGAGCAAGATGACCATGAGGATCAAATAAGACAGTGAGTTCTGCAATATTCAGAGTCAATAAATATATGAAAGCTAATTTAGTTAGCATGTTCCATGAGAATGTGGGAAAGTCTGCTTGGGGATTAGCCATCCATTCGTATTCGCGCTTGATTGCCGTAAGCACAAACATTTACCAGGTAACAATATTCGCTTTTGCTATAAGGGACGAGCCTAAAGATGAGGAAGACGAGGAAAAGCTTACTCAAATTGAATCTGCCGCTGCTCGCTATCAGTATACGGACTTCCCTTCGATAACACCTGACGAAGAAAAGCCTAGGTGGGCCACCGATAAACGTCAACACGGATACAGATTGGTTTTTAGCTTGCCTACCCTCGGTGCTAATATTCCTACAGTCGCATTTGTAAATGATCTTAATGGAGAAGCTGAAGACATTCTTGCAGGGGATACTGCTGGCCGACTGGTAAGCTTCTGGTACTTTTGATACTGTTCCGCTGGCTAATATGTTCATCAGTGGACGATCAACCTCTGGTCTCGAAGGGGAGGCGAAGTCTTGCAAAAGCAGTTTTCCGTAACTGGTGGCGAGATGGTTTGGGGCATTCTCGTTATTCCTGTAGGAGATTTCCTAGTTGAGTCCAGTCCGCATAAAGCTCTTGGTATGCCTCACTTCAAGACCGCTATCAGTTTCGATTCGATACAGGAAAATAATACACGAAAAGACACAAGGTATTTAAACATTTCCAGTACGGCAGTACACACGAGCGATCACACTGTGAGAGCTCGAAGGAATGATCCAGAATACTGTCAATTAAAAATCGAGGAAGATGGTGAGGATGCCAAAGTAATTATTTCGAGTACGGACAGTGGTAACTCTGGAGAAGTCTCAGCAACAGATATTGACCCCATTGTGAAGGCAAGACGATATCGGTATATGCAATGCTTCAGCCAGGATGACGCTGGAGAAGAGGAAATTCGGCATGAAGCCGAGACATTCCGTTCAATCATGAATCTCCCACCAATGCAAATGGAGTCTAAACGCAGCTGGAGAGATCTGGCAATCCAAGCTAGAGCAACCGTCGGAACAAGAAAAAAGAAAGCCAAAGACCGGGAAGATGGCACAATTATGTATCGGGAGTCCCTCAATCTCGGTGACGGATCAGCACTCCTTCGTCTGTACAACTGGGACATCGAGCTCATCCCGCCTACAAAAGGTATCCTAACAACGGTGCTCAAAAGCGCAATATCCCACCCCTTCCGCCAAACCCCACCGCACCTCGACGATCTCGCTCACAACCGTCTCAACATGCACCGCTACATCCCCCAACTCTCCCTCGTTGTCGCTGGCTCGCAGACCGGCGACGTCGCACTCCTCACCCTAACGCGCATGCCAGACAACTATTCTAAACTCGGCCTAGTCACTACGTTTCGCCTGGATCACATCCTCCCGTTTAAACATCATATGCCGAGTCCGCGCCGCAGGTTTCCGCTGCTGGGGCTGGCTACGTCGCCGGTTCCGGGGAATGAACAGCGATTTAGGATTCTTTTGCATTTCATGGATCATTCGATTGTGAGTTATGAGGTTTGGAGGGGAGTTAAGGGGGAGATTTTGCTTATATGATGAGCTGCTGAGGGGTTGAGGGAGCGAGATATTTGAGTGTTGGATGTGGAAGGGGTGGTGAGGATATTATTTGCACATATTTGCTTGATGACGAGAGATGAAAACGATGGTGAGAACATTATTTGCATATATTTGCTTGATGATGTTGGATGAGAGCTTTAAAGCGATGGAATTAGAATTGAGTTTTGTGCTTTGCATTGCCTAGAAAGGTAAATTTCGACCCCATCTTCTTATTACCGATTAGCACTCGGTCAATAGCTACTCGCAAGCGAACCAAGTGAAGTTGGAGATGTAACGAAATCGCGTTTAACCAACATTTAAACCAAAACCCCCCAAAATTGGTTTATTGCGAACCTAACTCGACCCTCTCCATAAATCAACACCGACCCAGAACACTTCCCACCGAGTACCCCTATCGATTCTCCACCGAGTGAAATCGTCTAACAATACCTCACCTCGAAACTTCCACCAATTTGACAGCACAACAATACCTTAACACCACTTTGTTAGTCGAAAATAATTCTTCTACTGTAGTTCCACAAAATGTCTCCACAACGTCATGACTCCAGCGTACAAGTTCATTGGTACAAGTATCTAATAAGTAGTTGTACTAAAAATGCCAACGCACCATGCGTCAAACGCATGAAATTCTACCCACCGCCATTCCCGTGCGACTGCAGAATTTATGGTCGTCTGTGGTTCGTGGGGATCACGTGCGTTGAGATGTACCCGGGTTTTTGTGTTGTTGTGAAGGGATCCTTGGTGATGATCTTGGGTTGTTGTGATGAGAGGAGAGGGGAGGAAGGGGGAAATAATTGAAAACGGGGTCGAATTAAAAGTAGATGCGAAATAACAGATAAATTGATTTTTAACTTTATCTTATTAAAAATTATCGAAATTCGAAGCAACACATGTACTCGAGTACAACCGAAGCTGAACATCGGTGGCGAAATTTAGCCCGCCAAGCCCATCTCACGCAGCACCCCAGCCATTTACTTTTCTGGTGTTGTCCTCGGTCTGCCAAAAAACGCTCTAAACACCAAGCTTGTTTTGCGACCACGACCAACGACGAGCCGAACCGTCTATGATCTCCACCTAGCCATTCCATCCCCATAAAAACAATCACTCATGCTCGCACCATCACATCCATAACCCGCCATCATGATGGCCGATCATAGCAGTTCGCGACGACGTCGCAGTCCACGACGCGCTGGAATCGAAATGCGCTCTACACCATCCCACGAACGCACCATCCCATCCCACGACCGCACCGCACGCGCACCCTACCTATCATCCTCGCCCTCCTCCAGCTCCTCCTTCGAACTCGTCGATATATCACGCACTTACCCGCCCAACCGCTCCGGTATCAAGACGTTTTTCACGGCGCCAAGCGAACATCGGCAGCGGAAACTGAGGAGGAAGAAGAGTGCGAGGTTGTTTAGACTGGGGAACTCGAGTAGTTCGAGTGTGAATAGTGATTTGGCGTATGGGACGGGGTATATTAAACGCCCGAAGTTGAGGAGGGTGAGGAGTAAGGAGGGGAGGTTGATTGATAGGGAGGGGACGAGGTATAGGTATGAGGGGAGGGGGGATGGTAGGTATGCGGAGGGTAGGTATAACGAGGGGAGAGGGGAGGGTAGGTATGAAGGTAAGGAGAGGAAGGGGTATGGAAGTGGATCTGAACGACGAGGACATGGAAGTGGTTCAGAGCGAAAAGGATATGCGTCTGGATCTGAGAGGAGAGGGAATACCGAGGCCGAGATTCTGGCAGTGGGCGCGGGACTCGCTGCGCTGGCGAGGGAGCAGAATAAACATGATAATAAGAGTCGCAGTGGAAAGAGTCCTGTGAAGCAGGGCAGTCAATACGGGGCTACATACTCTGGAAGTCGCGGACTAGGACCCTCGAAAGTCTCACATGAATCTGATTCTTTTGACGAGGATGGATGGGAATCGGCTTCCGACGCGGAATCTGAGAATAGTGTTGATTCGAGACTTGCGTTTGGCGCGGAGGCAAGCGGATGGTGGGGAAAACAAATTCATCGCCCACTATCTAGGAAGAATACCGTGGTGGATCCGAGGTTATTTGGGCCTCAGAATTCGTTGCATGGGTTCGTGGATGAACCTGTGGGATTTGGAACGGTTACTTGGACTTCTACGGAGGATTTTGGCCAGCAGTACCGTTCGCAATCGGCTTCTGTTGCGCCGAATGAGAGTCGAAGTGGTTCTCAGGTTTCGCTTCAACAGGTTTACCCGGTTCAAAATTCGAGAGATCCTACACGATTCGATGCTGCGAGGAGTTCTGCAGCTTCGGGTTCAGAGCCTCTTATGACAGGTCGTCCGGGGCCTGCGCCGCTACAACATCCTCAACCATATACCCCTGTTTCTCAGAGCATTTACGAACCTTCTGATCCTACTGTTCCAGATAACGCAGGCATATTGAAGAAGTCTGGCTCTTCGTCTGGGAAGGGCAGTTCTTTGGCGCAAGCTGCTCTTGTTGGTGTTGCTGTTGCAGCTGGTGGGGCTGCCATTGCTTCTCGATATGATGATCGCAAAGAAAATCGACGAGATGATGACCGTGATGAAGGTTCACGAATTAGTTCAAGACGCCGAGATGAGGAGCGCGAACGTGAGCGTGACCGTGAGCGCGAAGAAGCATCTCGGGTGAGCTCAAGACGCAAAGAGGAAGCCCGCGATGTATCGTCCCAAATTTCCTCTAGACGAAAGGATGGAGATCGTGATAGCTCTTCCCGTGTCGAGCTTAAACGACGAGATAGCGACAAAAGAGACAGCAAAGACGACCGTCGGAAGGATAAGCGAGATAGCCCTGACCGAGACGATAGAAAGGACAAACGACGTGATAAGGACCGGAAGAAAGATGGATCTCGCTATTCGGATGAAGAACGTCGAGAGAAGAAGCGTGAAAAACGACGTGAGGATGTAAGAGACGATCGAGACGACCGCAAGGAGAGACGACGAGATAAAGACGGTCGAGGGGAGCGATCAGAAGTCGCTACTCGTCCAGAAGCCGGCATGGATGATAGACGTACCAAAAGCGAAGCTGCAATCACGACCGTTTCGAAAATCGATCCATTTATGTTTCAAGTTGCTGATAATGCATTTCCAACCCCATTGAATGAGTATACTGAGTCGCATGGTCGACACGATTCTATACCACAGGTCGTTACGGTGGAGCGTGTGCCGGATTTTAGTCGCGATTACTCTGAATACGATGACAGAGACAAAGGCTACCGTGGTTCCGTCAATGACCATGGTCTCCATGATGCTGAAGCTGCGTATAGAGAAGCTCAGCATTCTACAGCCCCTATCGCTGCTACAGCTATTGGCGCTGCAGCTGCAATCGTCGCTTCTGAAGCCTATCGCGAAAGATCTGAGAAACGACGAAATGAGCGAAGAAGCGCGCAGCCCTCGGACTACAGTGATCGCGAATACGAGACTCGTGGGAGAGAACCAGCAAAAGAGCACGACCCAATTCAGGAAGAGGCGGACAGAGCTTACCGCGAGATTGTTATGGCGCGAAAGATTGCTTCAGAAGTAATCCGCTCGCGCTCAGCCTCTCCTAATGGTTCAGTCGTGGATAAATACCGTCATGAGGATGAACCTGAGCAACCCCAGATATCCACACCACCTCAGATGGACCATCCGAAGATCAAAGGGCCTTATGATGCACCCAACGCCGATTTCAATCCTGATCATCATTTCGATGACCCCCGAGATCTGAGGACTTTCAGACCTGAAACTCCTATTCTCTATGGAGGCTATAAAGATCCTACGGCTCTTGAACCTAGACCTCTACTCAATCTCGTTCGTCCTACGCCAGTACCATCTCCTCTCCCAGAGAAACAGAAGGCAAAGGAAGAATCATCGAGATCTGAGAAAACTCGCTCACAGCCAACATCCTCAAAACCTTCTCGCTCAGAGTCCTCGCGATCAGATCCAACGCGCTCGGAATCTGGCCGACCAGATGCAGCTCGATCGGAACCTCCGAGATCCTCGAAATCGCGAGACCGCGCTGAAAAGATCCGTACAGCCTCATCTGAAGTTGGTAGAAGTAACGGTGGTATGGATTCTCCAACCTCCTCGACTATTTCAAAGGGCGTCACGTGGGGCGAGAATGAGACGAAGCATTTTGATGTGGAGAGTCCTTCTGATGTCCGAGAAGAATATATCTCAAGCTCTGATGTTCCAGCTTACGAGAAGTCACCACAACCCAAATCACGCCCAGAGTCGAAGTCAGACTCCAAACCTTCGAAAGGATGGGGTGCTATTGCCGCTGCTCTTGTGGGAGCGGGCGCTGGAGCGGCTATTGCTAGCTCTGGTGATAGCTCCGATTCTAAGAAGACGGAGCGTGCAACTAGTCCACCAAAAGCTTATGAGTATCGTGGTGTTATGGTTGAACCAGAGAGCCCAGACTCGAAGGGCCGTCGACGAAGCCCTCCTTCCCCTGGCCCGAAACCAGCATCTCCATCAAGTCACATGCCTGGTGCGTTCGAAGAGGACTTAGAATTCACAGCGAACGTTGCTGCTGGGCTAAAAGATGCTGGATTTGACTCAGACATCGTCATCGAGGATCCTGAATTCCGCAAACGATCTTCTCCTCCTGGCTCCAACGAGAGGATTTACCAAGCTCCGTACTCGGAAACAGTCTCTGATCTTGGATATAAGCCCGCGCCCTCTGGTGTTTCCGGTGCTGGATACGTCATTGGTGAGGTGGAAACTCCTCCAACTCAGGATTGGCGAAGTGTTTCTCCCGAGGGTGACGAGGAGTTTCCTGTGAAGCTTAGTAAGAAGGAGCAGAAGAAGCGTGATAAGGCGAAGAGACAAAGTGCTGATGTGACGCCCCTTGTGGAAGAGACACCTACGCCTAAAGAGCCTGAGCAGGATTTTTATTTTAATGAACCGAAGTTGAGTAAGAAGGAGCAGAAGAAGCGTGACGAGGCCAAGAGACAAAGTGCTGATGTATCACCACCTTTGGAACAGAC